TTTAACAGGCAGTTTTCAAGGGAGAGGTGTGAAATCAGCATAGCTGAAAGGAGTGATTTTATGACAAATTAAATCAGCAGTCAGGCCTGGGACACAAAAATGTGCACAGGAGCAGAGGGAATGCCTGAAGGCAGAAATCCTTGCTCAGCTCCCTTTGCTGTGCAGGGTGAGGAGCAATCCTTCCTGAGGGACACACCTGATGGGGTGGGTTGTAATCCAATGGATAAAACATCCAGAACTTCTGCTGGGGTGATTTCTGTGTGCTCTGGCTGTGGAGGAGCTTCTGCTTTTGAGCCCCTGATGTTTGTGTCAGACCCTGTCTCCTGCCTTCCCATGGAGCTGGCAGCCTTGTCTGTGTGATGCACCCAGGAATGAACCCAGTGTGGAAAGAACCCTGCTCCTGACATTCCCCAGCTATCAGAGCAGGTTATCCCTCTGGGAATGAAGGCAGACAGGATCTGTGGTGTCCTTGCCAGAGCTGCTGGGATACTCACAGTGGAAGGGAATGGCTGTCTCGTGGTGCTGAGCCTCCTCTGCCTGCTTCAGGTTCAGCAGGGTGGAGGCAAACAGGGGGTTGTTGATGAAGTGTTTCATGTAGTGCTTCTCACACTCCTCCTTGGATTTGGTGCACATCTGGTTGGCCACGTCCTGCCTGCAGTGGGGAGAGGGGGAGGCTTCGTGTGAACAACACAGAAATGTTGGGTTTTAAAAATTTTTTTAAAGTTTAAACAATTTTTTTTAAAAGTTTTTTGTTTTTCTCCAGTGGGAAAAGGTAACTTTGGACAAGAGATTGGGTGTGTGCAGAGAACTGGCCTGAACTCACACTCTCAGCACCAACACTCACATGTTGGTGCCAGGGAACATTTTTGGGTGTCCATGAACAATGAAATTCACTGTTTTCATATGGGAAACCCTCTGGCTGATGGAATGTGCCACGTCGTTAACAGGCTTGAAATTTACTGATGTTATCTGAGAGCTTTTTACACCTTTTACTGACTCCAGGTAATGGCAAACTCTGTAACCAGCTACCAATCCTACTTCTGACAGCACTGTGCACCTAAGAACTCTCAGCTCTGCTTCTGTGAATTCTGGGGTTCTGTAACTTTAAACACAACTATTTTTAATAAAGGAGGAGACAGTTAGCTCATGAAAACAGGATGTGATATTCCAGCCTTCCTTTAGCTGCTAATTAGTGTCTCACCCACGATAAGCCATTGAACAGTCAATGGGCACTGATGAGTTCAACAGTGAGGGAAAAGAAAGGAAAAACTGCTCATCACTGACTGAAATTGGCTGAAGCACAGAACTCTCACCAGTTCCCAAATCCACAGTCCATCACAGCTTCCAGGAGAGACATCTCCTCCTGAGCTGTCCAGTTGGGATCCAGGACAGGGAAGTCAGATGTCTGGAGAAGAAAAAAGAACAAACTGTGATCCTGTGCTCCAGCCCACCACAGAAAGGGCAAAGAAGTTCTGAAGCACAGGGTGACACAAGAGATAATTCTGGTAGCTTTAAACTTCCACAAAACCTGATTGAATAATTATTGGATTACTTAGGGCATCAACCACAGCAAATACTGGTACATGTTTTGTCTCCCAGCTGTAATTGCACAATGTTGTACCATGAAACACAGTAAAATTACTGGAGACTTTAAGAACTATTAATTTGGATGAAGAAACAGCCTAGAGAAACAGAAGCCAATGTCCCTGGCTAAAGGACTGCCAGTCTAGTGAGCTGCATTGTGCTACCCAGGCACAAGAAAAAGATGCAGCTGTAAATGACTCCACTACTCCACTCTGTTCCAGCTGGATAATCTCCTTTTTTTAATAGTTTAAAACCTCTGAATCAAAGACCTGCATCACTTAACCTGTCAGTGCAATATGAGTGAGCAAGGGTCCCTCACTCACTCCTGGGAAGCTGTGAGAGCCCAGGACTGAGCAGGTGCTATCCAAAAGGAATATTTACCATTATCTCATAAGTGTGATCACTTTGGTGCTTCTTGTACTCAAATCCTCGGGTGAAACACTGCAGAACAAAAGATCAGAGCTGTGTTACTTCTGCCCCGACAAGATTTTCACTGGTCCCTTTTTTAACTTCCATGGTGTCTCAGTGCTCCACCCTCCAGCCCCCTTTGTCATTTCCCTGTCCCTGAGCAAGCTGGAGAGGGCAGTGATGGCTGTGATGGCCCTGGCTGGCTGTCTCAGGGCTGTGGGAGCTGCTGGCACTCACCTGCAGGCACAGCAGGAAGGGAGGGGGCCCACACTCAGCACACTTCACGTAGGGCTCCGTCAGGTACGAGGAGCAGCCCCGGCACGGGGGCTTATCAAAAGGGTCACCTGGGGAAACCAGAGGAAACCTCCTGTCACATCCTGTCACACAGCACTGCCTGGGCAGCCCCTCAACCCACCGTGCCCAGCCCCTGCAGCTGGTGGCTCTTGTGGGCCCAGCTCAGGATGCTCTGTGATTCTATGGATTTCAACCGTGTAACAAATTAATAGGACTGTCAGGTTGTAATGGCTTCAAACTCAAAGAGAGCAGGGTTGGATTGGAGAATTGGGAAGAAATCCTTCCCTGGGAGGGTGGGCAGGCCCTGGCACAGGGTGCCCAGGATCCCTGGCAGTGTCCAAGGGCAGGCTGGATGGAGCTTGGAGCAGCCTGGGACAGTGGCAGGTGTCCCTGCCCATGGGATGGGCTTTAAGGTTTCTTCCAAACCAAACCATGGTTCTATGATTCTGATTTTTCCCCAAGAAAATGGATTTGAACCAGCTCAATTATAAGTAGAGAAAAATCAGACAGAAGTCACACTGAATCATTTGTGTGAGCACTAAACCACATCCCCAAAGTGCCACATTTAGACATTTTTTGAGCACTTTCAGGGATGGTGACTCCAAAATCCCAGTGCTCCAAGAAATCCTTGCAGCATCAGGTTTTTCCTGAGCAGGTGAGGGAGCTGATTTATCTGGTGGCACTTACTGCTGAAGGAGGCCAGGCGCTCCATCCCTGCCCTGGGGCTGGTTGAGCTCCTTGGCTGGCCCAAGCTCCAGGAGAGTGAGCCTGGTCCCAAACTGTGGATCCCAAAGGGAATTCTGCCTCTCCCACAGCCTTCGGGGGTGTGATCCTCCCAGGATGTCCTGAGCAGCAAGCAGAAGGGCTTCAGCAGCCTTCAGACCCCATTCCACATGGATCAGAGTCCCTGCTCTGGCTGTGGGGAGATGTGGGGTGATGGGGATGCAACCCCAAAGGGAGGGTTTCAGGGGAATGGATGTGTCAGCTGTTGTGCAAGGAAGTGCTCTGTGCTTCCCAGAAACACCTCCCATATCCCACTGCCCCTATCCCAATTCTCAATCCCCCACATCCCAATCCCCACTCCCCATATCCCAGTCCCTGCTCCCTCACATCCTAACTCCCATTCCCCATATCTCAGTCTCTGCTCCCCATATCCCAGTTCTCACTCCCCCATATTCTGCTCCCCATATTCCAATTCTCATTCCCCATATTCCAGTCCCCATATCCCCATTCCCATCCCCATGTCCCCAACCCCATAACCCCATTCCCATATCCCCATTCCCCAATCCCCATTCCCCCATCCCCATTCCCCCATGTCCCCATATCCCCATTGCCATATCCCCATATCCCCACATCCCCACGTCCCCATATCCCCATTCCCACATCTCCATATCCCCATTCTCACATCCCCATTCCCATATTCCCATTGCCATATCCCCATTCCCACATCCCCATATCCCTATCCCCATCCCCACATTCCCAAATTCCCACTCCCCTCTCCCGCCCGCCTCTGCCCCCTCTGCCCATCACCGCCAGGGGGCGCCCCCGCCCGGCCC